GCCCTTGCTGCCTTGGTCCTGGCCCAGGCCGGCTGGAAGCCAATGTACAATTTTGTGGTGGCCATCTATGCTGAAATGCATTCAGTCTTGGCTCCACAAGGCCGTCTAGAAACAGCGAGGAACCAGCCCCTGCTGCGTCGGCCCCGTCCCCTGGGTGCATGCTGGGGAGGTGTCACCCTTTGTGAGGAATGAAGAAATGGACCATGCCTTGGCACTTGCCCTGGCCCCACCCCCTTCTGCCAGAGACCCTCAGATCTGTCCCAGTCCTGCCCAGGCCCCCACAGGCCCCCTTGACACGAACAATGATAGAGCTGGCCATGCCCACCCAGTAGGCCACACCCACTCCATCCACGCCCACCCAGTAGGCCACACACACCCTGGCCATACCCACCTGCCCCCCCCAGGGCAACCACAATGCTGATGTGGCCCTCAATGATGTAGGATAAGGACAAAGTCTCAAGGATCTGAAAACCAGCAGATCCAGAAGAGCCTTTCTGCAGTACAAGCCAACTTCCTATTTTCCAAAACTATTTCCAAAGCAAATTTTATTTTGAAATCATTCATTTTCATAGTCTGTTTTTCCACACAAAGGGGGAGGGAGAAAGAGACACAAAAAAATTCAAGCATTCTTTTTTTTTTTTTTTGACATCCATAAATAAAAATCTAGGTGGTGAAAGTTGGAGAAAAGAGAAAACGGGTTTAAGGCCCAAACCAATGTCCTGCTGTGTTAAAACTGCCTTCCCCAAGTTTAGAGGCAAGTAAGCCGGGAATTTGCAGGGCTGCCTCCCAAAATACCTGGTTCTTCATGCATGATTGCATCAAAGAATTGTGAGAAAGAGGAAGTTCACAAGATTTTTCTATAAAAAAAAATGATTTTCCATATTGATAAATAAAATTGGCAGGGGAAGCAGAACAGAAAGGGTTCTTGAGTGTGTTGGCATCTGCTCTGCCTTTTGAGGTAGTTGCCTCTCGTGCTAGGGTGGGTATTATCCGTATAACAGCTAATTAGGTCTCTCAGCCTCCAGGAGCACTTTCTTCGCTGCCTGTCTGCACTATAATACCTGCTTTGGTCACAGCTACGTCATCCCTGATGCAGGGTCACACTGTTTCGTACTGTATCATCAGCAGAACCCTGATCCCAAACATTACAGTATATGATAGGGACAGTTCAACAGTTCTGGCTCTTAGAGGCAACCAACTAAGCCAATCTAAAGCCAGCATCATTCTAACAGAAACCACAAGGGGTTTAACCTGATGGGCAATGGGATTGAATTCTAATTTAAAACTCTCATTAAGGGTAAAGATGGATGCTAGAGAGCTGGTGGATTTTAGACTAACTTTTCCTCAGGATGTGCTATATCAGGGGTAGGCAACCTTGGCTCTTTTATGACTCGTGGACTTCAACTCCCAGAATTCCTGAACCAGCCATGCTAAGGGGACAGGGAGAGGATTCCAAGCTGAGCCATGCTGGATCAGGAATTCTGGGAGTTGAAGTCCACGAGTCATAAAAGAGCCAAGGTTGTCTATCCCTGTGCTAGACTGTAACTCCCATGAAACCTAGCTAGGATGATAGTGAGGTTGACTCGTGCATCCAGCTTGGAAAGGAAGTCGTATTAGTACTATCCTTGAGCAAAGTGCATTTTAGAACACTCTCCTCCAGCTTGTTTCAGAGATTTTTAAGCATGCAGTCTATTCTGCTGGCCTTGATCCTGCAGTAGAACTTGACTCTGCGGTCTTCTGAAATTCATCATGGTCTATATGCAGAATGACTATCACCACCCTGGAAATCATTTTAGAATGCTCTTGAGTGTCCATGGGGATAAAGTCATTTTTTTAAAGTTTCCAAGGGCAGCCCTAAAAACCACTAACTTGAAAAGGAATTAGTATCTCTGGAATATGACAGAGCTACATAAGAGCAATTTACCGTATTTATTCGAGTATAACGCGCAAAATTTTCTACCAAAAAAAGAAATCAAAGTTTGGGTGCGCGTTATAAACGAGGGCTGGGGTGGGGTGACGCAGTGGCGGCCGGTCCATTGAGGGCGCAGGCGAATTGTGAGTTCGCACTGTGCCTTTTCCGGGCTTCAGCCGCTCACGCGAGGGCGAAGAAAAAAAAAACGTCCCCTCGTCGCGTACAGGGGGCGGCCCGAACTGGCGAGATGCACTTCCCTTTCCCGTTAGATGGCAACTCAGGGTATCAAGAGAAAACGTTCTGCATATGACGCGAATTGTGAGTTCGCACTGTGCCTTTTCCGGGCTTCAGCCACTCACGCGAGGGCGAAGAAAAAAACAACGTCCCCTCGT